AACCTGAGAATTTCTTCACCCAGATGCCCTGAATTATGTACGTCCTGAAAAACTGCAACACACATATCTGCTTTCTCTTTACTATTAAGTGCTTCCCTCTGACCATCACACAACAATGTCATAGTAACACTCACTGCTTTTCCAGCCATACGCCAAATTCTCCTCTACAACTGAACAACAGGAGTGTCTGGGCCCAAGGTACTGCATAACTGCCTCCAACACTTCTTTTTTTCAGGCTAATTAACTTTCCTAGCTGTTGCCCTACAGCGCTTGTACTCAACTACATTTTCCTGAGCAGGAAACCTGCGCATTCTTCTAAAAGCTTGTCTTCTTTTACTAACCACTGAGTCACATTCCTTATTCCACCAAGGAACTACGGCTCGCTCTCTTCTTGGGCCCTTACTTAAAGGAATCGACTGGGATGCAGCTCTCATAATAAGTGTAGACAGTGATATGTATTTCATATAAAACTGCTGCTGCACCACTGACCCTGTCACACTAAGTCAACCTTGTTAGTGTAGACCCGGAAGAGATCCATCCTACTGGGTTTGTAGTGTTTTGTGTGTACAGTGGCGGTAATGCATCTGAAAGTTGGAGCCAACCACCAAATATCAACATGAAGCAAAATCTTACCAGAGTCTTGGAAGGACCTTGTGGAATCAGGGGCGGCTGTGGCTCAGGTGGTAGAGCAGGTTGTCCTCCAATCACAAGGTTGGCAGTTTAATCCCCCCTTGGGCAAGACACTGACACGCAGCTCTGTCTCCATTGGTGTATGAGTGTGTGTAAATGGGTGAATGAGAAACACGTTATATAAGTGCCATTTACCATTTACCAATCCATGACATTGAGAACTGAGGCTGTTCTGAGAAAGCAAAGGGAAGCCTGACTGAGGAGTGTGGGGTTCCTGACAGTGTGAATTCTCAGTGGGCCTGAAAATTCATAAACAACAATAATCACAACAGGATGGCAGTACGATCACATGAAACTGCAAGACTGTACATTTTTCAGGCATGGTCATATCTATCAATTGTGAGAATATTCCACAAATATGTGATACATTTTTGATAAATGGCGGAAAATAGTTCTGGCTAGCTTTTTAAGTTTTAGTCAGAACCACACCTCTTCATCTCCAGGAGCTTTGTTAGGGTCCAAAGAGCAAGGACCCTATTGTTCCCGCTTCTTTCTTTCTTCTTCTTCTTATCCTCCTGATGAACGCAAACCCCTTAATTTGACCCCCTAAACACGCTCAAAAATTCACCAAAATTGGCACACACCTCCGAATCAGCGAAAAATTTGATAAAATTAAAAAAAAAAAAAAAAAAAGCTCTCTAGCGCCACCTAGTTACAGAAAAAACACACTAAAACGGCCCTAGTAGCCAGTAGGAATGTCGTACAGAGATCAAACCAACACCAAAACGTTCGTCTCAGTGAGACCCACAAATCTCACATGACACCCCTGACCTATCTCAAACAAGAAGTCCACAATTTGCCTTTCAAAGTAAAAAACTGAATGAAAACATCTTTTGGGAAAAAATTATCTTGTCTGACATCATAAATCGTATCAACTTGAAAATCGCACAGGAGACAGAGAAGGCCTTGATGAGCAAAAGTTCTGAAGGGATTTGGCGTTTGTCAAACAGTTTCCAAATGGCGAGCCGTTAAAGTTGATGAGCTGTTGCAGCTCGGCTTATACTTTGTATGGCTGGCTATGGGACATCTGCAGACATGCTGTGTCAGTTGGTCATCTACACAAAAAACTAAAGGTCCTACAGCTTTAAAAAGGACACTGAAGACTTCCAAACAAGATTTACCACAAAAATATGTTGTTTTTGCACATATTTGGTCAAAATTGTGGCTGTATGGGAGAGTGAAAGTGAGTAAAACTCTCAGCTCCCTCAGCCAGGGGCATGAAGAATGATGAGTCATCATGACATCATCACCTGCAGCTTTAATCCTGATTGACAGCTCAGTGCAGCAGGTCATGTGACTCACTGACAGTCTGAGGATGAGAAGAGAGAGAAACATGGCTCCTTCAACTTAAAGCAGGTTTAACTTGAAGCATGGTCAGACGGGCATGAGGTTGCAACACAGACCGAGGACCCGACAAACGCTGCTTGCAGCTTTAATTTGGAATTGTATTTTTAATGATAATAATTATATTGTTAATCGCAGAGTCCCAGGAGTTAAAATGATACCAGATGGTTGAATTATTAGCTTCAATATTTTTACATTCATTTCAAGTCACACTATTCTGTTGAATATTTATCTATAGAATATTTCTCTCTCCATCTGCTCTCCATCTCTTATCCTGCTATCCCCACCCTCCCCCATCTCCACTCTCACCCATAGACTGTACAAAAGATGGATGTAGCAACCGGCCGTGAAAAATGAAGCCAACCCGAAAGTGTCAAAAACCTGCAATATCACTACATCCACTAGTTGCTGGCTCCAAAAAGCCCTGGCTCCCATAGACTTGAATTGGAAAAGAAGTGATCACAGATCACGAAATACCGTATTCCTACAGCTCAGGATTTTTTTCTTGCTAGTTTTCATAGTCAAATTCAGAGATCAGGTGACCAATCTGAAAATACATCAATACTGAATTTTTAAAAAATCGTCAAAATTTTGCGGGGCAAGGGGCGTGGCTGGCTTGATTGACAGTCGGCAGCGATGATGCAGATCTAGCGAGCAGAAGGTAGTAAATGTGGGGGGCAGAGAGGGCCCGCCTCTCAATCTGTCTGACCAATCACTGCTCCTATGGCTCCGCCCCCCTCCGACGATTTTTGTGTCACTGGCTCCAAAAATCCAAGATGTCAACCAGGAAGTAGCAAAACCCTGGCTTCATTTTCTCAGTGCAGAAACAAACGGGTGACATCACAAAAGCTACGTCCATCTTTTATACAGTCTATGCTCTCACCCAACCGGTGAAGGCAGATGGCCTCCTTCTCTGAGCCTGGTTCTGTCTGAGGTTTCTTTTTTGTTGCCCCCTTGGGGGTTTTTTGGTTCCTTCCTACCATTACAAACCGCTTACTCAGAGCGAGTCCAAAGGCAGCTTTGGATTGTTGGGTTCTCTGTTTAAATTTTTAAGGTCTATACCTTACTATGTGAAGCGCTATGTGATGACATGTTGTAAATTGCACTGTACAAATAAAATTGATTTGAATTAAATTGTTGATTTGGTATGTCGGTCAGGAGAGTGAGAGGTTTGCCTTCAGGCCTTTCTGCCAGAAAGTTCCCTTCAGGAGGATGTTGAGGGGGATGGATGGGTCAAACAGCTTCTTTCCAATGTGAAGCATAAAATCAATGTTGACCTATTATTTTAAAGTAAAATCAAATTACCATTTAGTGTATTAAATCCCAAATGAGCACCCCAGCCCTTCAAACATCTAACCTAAATTCATCATTTCATTACACATTCTATAACATCCATCCATAATCTATACACCGCTTAATCCTCACGAGGGTCGCGGGGGGGCTGGAGCCTATCCCAGCCGACTTAGGGCGAAGGCAGGGGACACCCAGTCTATCGCAGGGCTACACTTAGAGACAGACAACCAAGCACACTCACATTCACACCCATGGACAATTTAGAATCACCAATTAACCTCAACATGTTTTTGGACTTGTGGGAGGAAGCCGGAGAACCCGGAGAGAACCCACACTGCACGGGGAGAACATGCAAACTCCCACCGGGACACGAACCGACAACCTTCTAGCTGCGAGACAACAGTGCTACCAACTGCGCCACCTCGCAGCCCACATTCTATAACAATTACTTCAAAATTGTTTTGTTAATAATTGAAATAATCATCAAACGTATGAAATATGTATACCTTACCTGGAAAAGGGGTGGCATTTCTTAATCATTTGCATGATCTTTAGACAGCTTGACAAAAGACCCTGTCTGCCCTCCCAGCTACCTCACTTCAAAAAGTCTCTCTGCAAACCATATTAGCACTGCTGCACTTTTAAATTCGTTCACCTGCACAGCTGACTGCACCCTACATGGTTTGTAAAAGAAGTTATCAAGCCATTCAGTTTATTTATTTATTTATTTATTTTTTTTAATGATTTACATTGAAATTCTGCAACAAAATTACAGTATGAATGTAAACAATCAGTCTCTTGTGACTGGCTGCAGCGGAGCGGAAACATTTCAGTCACAACATAGAAATACTCATATTTGCCTCCAAGTCATCCAGCAGGACCTTCAGCAGCCTGCAGCTGTTGGATGATGGATGAAACGTCACAACCTCCTCCTCCTCCTCTCTCTTCTTCCTCCCCCTCTTCTCTCTTCTTCTTCCTCCTCCTCTTCCTCATCTCCTCCTCCTCCTTTTCTCTCTTCTTCCTCCTCCTCGTCCTCGGCTTCTTCATCTCCTCCTCCTCCTCTTCTTCTTCATCTCATCCTCCTCCTCTTCTTCTTCATCTCATCCTCCTCTTCTTCATCTCGTCCTCGCCCTCTTCTTCATCTCCTCCTCCTCCTCTTCTTCTTCTCTCTTCCTCCTCCTCCTCTTCTTCCTCCTCCCCTGTTCCTGCACTCCACCGCCCGCCTGTCCCCGCCCGGCTCTCACGTCACATGCGGCACATCGCTACGAACAAATGGAGCGGAGCTTGTATGTCCACTGACCTGGATTGAGGGGGGTCTGGATCGGCTCGGCTCGGGTCGGCGCAGGTAAAGCAGCCTCCTTCTTTTATTCCTGACTGTCCTTTGCAGTCTGAGTCATTTGCGCCTGTTCAGAGGAGTCACGGAGAAACTGTCCACAGCATCCATCCACGACCACTCACAGCCTCCGCCGCGGCCGGCCGTCCTGCTCCTCCGATGCGCCGCTAAGCGCACGCAGCTGGCGGCGGATGTCGTCTCCTCAGCGCCGACTGTCGCTGCTCATGTGTCCGTCGGAGCCGTGAGAGTCTGGACCGTGGCTCGGCCTCTCCCCTCCTCCCCCTGAGCAGCGCGGCCGTGTGGATGGAGGCGGCACCGGGAGGCCAAGGCTGCCGGTCGGCGCTGCTCATGGAGCCGCAGAGCTGGAGGACGAGCCCCGGCCAGGGATGAAGCTTCCTGCCGAGACACTGGTCCTGTGCACGGAGAACAGCTTCGCTAGCGGACGTTACCTCCACCAGGACTCATGGTGAGTTACCGTTTGTGCTTTTTGTAGGAAACCCAGACACCGGGAGCAGCTCGGTGCTGCAGACGCGGATCCCTTCACAGATGAGCGCTCATGTAGAACATGACTCATAGATTAGTTGTCAACTATTAAACGAATCGTCAAATATCAATATCAACCATTTGGCTGCCCTTATGAAAAACAGTCCCTTCTGTGATTGCAGCGTCCTAAAAGTTTTTTTTTTATTTTCTAGATTCTTAAGACAGTAAACGGAATATCTTGTGGACAAAAGATGTGTCATTTGGGCTTTGGGAAACACTCATCAACATTTTTCATCATTTTCTGACATTTTAAAGACCGAACAATGAATCCAGTAATCCAGAAAATAATCAACAGTTCAATCTTCAAAGAAAGCCAGAGTACTAAAACATACTTTAATAATAAATTGTGTCAGTTGTGTTTTTCTGATGAAAAGGTTCAACCAGCTGTTTGGACTTGCAGGAAATGAATTCAGTGATGTGCTCATATTTTTCACCTTAACTCCTGGATGCATCACTGAGCGCTCACTGTCAGAGTTTGTGCAGTGCAGCCTTCAGATTTCACAGCACACAGGATCAGGAGTGGCTCCAGACCAGTTGTGATCCTATGATCCTGTAAAATTTTGCACTTTCAGCACAAGAGTCTGGAAACATTCTTCTTTTGTCAAGCTCCATTCAAACATCATTTTGCACAATGACTTGTACATCCAGGAGAGGTAACGCCTAACAACGCATGCGGTTGAGTGGAAGAGGCCGTGGCAAATGAGAGGAACAGGGAAAAACAGGCTCTCCATGTTATATGGCTCTACATAATTTGATTAACCACAAATTTGTCTGAATTACAATGTCATCTCTTTATCCTCCAATTTGTGGCTCAGCTCTTGTTTTAGTTCTGTTGACAGCTCACTTGTTGCAAAGTTTGTTATAACTTAAGGTGTTTGCATTTCTTTTGCCAAGTAAATAAAATACAGACAAACTGTAAACACAGATTTTTTTCTTGAATATTTTTTTTCATGACTCAGTCCACTGACAGTCATTTCAGTCACTGGAGTGCTCGTTGGTTTGTGTGTCCGAGGACATAATGCAGCTGTCATGTCTGGTGGTCTTCACGGGCCTCTGGGGCTTCTCAGGATGCTAATTCAGCCAATGCTAATGCCCAGCAGTGGCAAAATGCCAGAGAAGAAGAGAAATGCTTTGTTTGTAACCCAGCTCTGCTTACCGAGCACCACGCAAACTGTTGCCATTCATTTGCTTGTCACTGGCAAGTCGCTAGCAAAGCTTCGTGTTGGGAACAGATGTCTTTAAAACCACAAGGTGGCTGTGATGAGGTTGAATTCCCAACCAGGCAAAGTGACCCTAAGGGACCCCCAAAAGTTTACTCAGCTCTATTTCTGTCAACATAATTAGATATTTCATGAATTTTTAATTATTTTTTAAAACCTCTGAAACTGAGTATTGCCTATGGCAGGTCCTTCATATTGTGGCCCCCACTCAAAATCAAATGAGTTTTTATTTGCATTGAGCTTATCTCTTAAAAGTTGTCTTTTATTAAATTACTATTTTAAAAAAACAAACAAAAAAAAAACAACAACTAAGTACTATAATGCTAAACTACGATTGTGAACATGGTAAATATTGCACCTGCCAAACCCTAACACTCTAACATGGCCCCTGACCACAGCATTAGAATATAGATAGAGCAGCTGACAAGTCTGTCTTTTCCATCTTCATGGAAGAGCAATACCAAATCACCAGACTGCTCTTTAACCTCTTTCTGCAGCAGCTGTTTCTGCATGATTTTACTGCATTTAATGCTTGACAACTTTATATCACAAAACCATGGTAAATGACTTAACCTGGACATATATTGTCTTTATGGGAAAAAAAACATTTAATAAAACATTTTACTGGCATATACTAAGGTGAAAACAGTTTCTGTTCTACGATAGTAAATGGTATTTTGTGTGTGTTTGTGTGTGTTTTCAGTTGAATTAGCATTTAACAGTAAACTCATATACCCTAGGGTCTGCACCCTCTGCATGGTTGGGGTCCACTCAGGACCCAGCTTAATGCTGCTCGAGTTCTTGCTATTTATTTTGGCCCCATTTGCCTTGGGTTTAATTATCAGTATTTCCTTTGCCCATCAGGTCATGTTTTTTCTCAAATTCCCTTTATGCAAGTCGAGTTAGTTCTCCACTGGTCCATTACAAAGCAGGTGCAAAGATTTGGTGTCATAAACCAGGAAAATGCAGGACATAGAAAGTAACATCAAACTGTTAGTTTGTTCTCTATAGACAGTGAGGGAGGCTTGGAGAGGGAGAGTGGCATCAGGTACGTGGTCAGCAATTCAGGCACAATCCAGGTGAACTTCCAGATAGGTTGGTCAGTTGCATGTCTGAGACTGGCAAGCAGAAGCGCTTGGCATGGCAAGGAATGTGGTGCGTGGCTTGGCTGAAGGAGATGAGCTTGGAGGTCTGCAGCTGTAGGTTGATTCCCTGTGGTGTGGATTCAGCGGAGGTCAGGTTGGCTGGTGACTTGGAGTTAGAACCTGAGGCAAGAGTTAGCAGGATTAAACTAGACAAACAAGCAGACAGAGAAGCGTGAATTTAGATCAGAGTCAAGGATAACACCACATGAGCAGGCAGAGCGATCTGGCACAGGATGGAGCGTTGAGCTGAGTTTATACTCTGCAGGCCAGTGATTGGATAATGACATCAGGTGTGTCTGATGGGTAGATGGAAAATAGGTCCACACACACACACGGAAAAACGGAAAGTAGGTCCTCACATACACACACACACACACACACACACACACACACACACACACACACACACACACACACACACATATGAACCCATGAAAACCTCCAGTTAGGAAAGTTGTGTAGCTATGTGCATACCTGAATCAGGCTTTACAGCAGATGATAATTGGCTTGTTCCAGGGGCCTCATTTGTCATCAGTGTGTACGCACAGAACGAACATTCCTACGCAAATTCTAGAATTTATCAACTTGTATTATATAAGTACATAACGTAAATATACACACAACTCTGACCATGCTTATGCACATGATCTCGCGGTAGAATAGCGAAACTACAAATAGAAAGTATTCAGAGATTTTGACCATCATTCCAGCGTGAGGTTGGAGACACATGCAGCGTTTCCCAGCCGTCACTGAGCAGGATCATGCCAGCAGTGTTGGATGCCATAACTCCCCTGGCCCCAACCTACATCCATCACCAATGAGCCCAAATCAAATGGGGACTTCACGCCATCGCTGGATTCCCAAACATAAGTAGAGCCATAGAATGCACCCACATTGTTTCAAAGCAGCATCACTGAACGAAATGAATTATGTTAATACAAAAGAGTTTCATTCAATCAACATACAAATAATTTGCAATGCACATTTGTGGCTATCAAACGTTGTTGCCCGGTTGCCTGGAGGAATGCACGACTCATTCATTGAGCAGAACAGCTCTGTGGGTGCATCTCCAAGCAGGAGCTGCTGGAGATGGTTGGCTTATTGGTAAGTGGTACAGAGTGTGGAAATGTTTTAGCTTGACTTAGTATGGTTATTAAAACATCTCATCTGTAGGTGATCAGGGTTATCCACTGGGTGAACATTGGGTGTTAATTTTTCCTCCTCCAGTTGCAGTCATTTCTCTTTTATGGGCAGTGACGCGTTTTTTGGCACTGAGCTTAATGTCAAACCAGCGATCTCTCCTTTGACTAATCAGAAATAACTGCGGTGGTTATCTTGTCCCATGTAGCGTTTCTTTCTTTCGTTGGTTATCCCAACATTTAATGCACCAAACAATATTTTCTGGTTAGCTTCAACCTTGCTGACAAGTACCTCAATTTTGGTTTCCGAAAAGTTCCTCTTTGTTGCCCTCTATGTCATGATGATGAAAGGTGAGGGCGGGAAAATATTCACTTGTTTTATAAAGAGGCGTGTTGTTGCCATATATGGTTAATTGGAGGCGTTTCTGAAGACAAATGATCCCCAAAGTGCATGAGCATGGTGGATAAGAACAAGTGGGATCCACGTATGCATGCTTGATCAATTTTTTTTGTACTTATGCACACTATAAATTTCATTAATAAGACAGAATTTAGAACCTTTTCTATGTACTGATAAGTGAGGCCCCGGGAGATTAACTCAGGAAATCCCTGATACTAATGATGTGTCTGATGCACACTCAGGATCAATAGTTCTCGTGAATTTAGCTTGTACATCTAACAGAAATGTAGAGAAAAGGAGGGATGAAAAAACATTTTTCATTTTTATGGATTATTGCAACAAATTAATGTTTCTGCATTTTATATCATTTTGTATCTTGGAACTTTCATCTGCAGTCCCCAAAACGCCAGGTGAAAAGCTCTGATGCCTTACACAGTCATGTATGTGCTTAAGCATCAAACAAAATGAGCCTAATTAAAAAGTCTTACGGCATGGCACAGTGCATGGTCGTTCATCCGACACAAGGGGAGTGTTGCACACTGTGTGTATGCCCGCCTGTGTTTTTTCATTTTATGGGATCTGCAAAGGATTTAATCAGTCATGCTCTGTCTAATAGATGGTTGTTCAGTGGAGCGTAATGAGAGAGCATGCTGTCCCAGAGAGAGAGAGATGAGAGGAAGACGACATGACAGTGTCTCTAAAATACACGGTCTTGGAACACAAAGGAAAAGCGAGTTGACACTGTCATGAAGACAGAACCAAGTTAGCTCTTGATTTTTGCCTCCACAGGAATCTTCAGCTTGAATTACGCACATGTAGGAGTGTGTTCCACTGAAAGAAAAGAGAAGGCCTAACTGTTATTTGAAGGCACATTTTGCCTTTTAACACAGAGGAAATGCTAGACCTGTCCAGGACATGCACATCACTTACTGTACAGTATATGAGTCATTTTCTCGAAGCCTCCTCCACATTCCTGCCTCCACAGCCAAGTCATCTGAGCTTGGCTAAATATTGTTAAT